AGCAAAGCATGGTAGCCAATTAAAGCAAACAAACAATGAAGTTGCAAAATTAGAGTTGCCAAGGACCAAATTGATGAAATTCTTCAATTGACTGGGTCATAGTAGAACGAGGGGAGACTTGGAGGGTCAAAATGCAAAACTCAGAATTTTTCCATGCATGCATACGCAGAAGATTTCTGCATTTTAAAGCTTTCTGCAGCTAGAAAACAAAGGCTGTTCCCTTTTATTTCCAAAGCTTCGGCAATACCCAGCAACAACTACATCCATTTCATCATACAAACAAGTTCATCAAACCAGAAATTATTGACCCAAATCTAGACATGACAATTTGTTTGCAAGATTAAGATGGCAAATCTGAGTTGATGACCGCCCAAGATAAGGAAAAACAACAAGACAGAATGCCGCAAGAATTTCTGCAAAGCTAGGAAGCTTTTGGCAACCCATAATGAATCAGGATTTTTAACCAAGCATCAAAGGCTTTAGATTAAACAACAGCTATCCAAAACTGCAAGCCCAAACAAGGAAACAAAAACTCAAGAAAGCTATCATGCAAATCTGGAAAATCAGAAGCTTTGCTGCAATTTTCAGCCGCGACTTGTCCAGAATTTCTAGTTTATCATGCAAACAGATTCAACAAGGAACCAGAATTCTACCTATCCATCATCAACTAAACACGCAACTTCGTAGCAGGATCGAAAACAGAAAAATGAAGCTGACCAACAAAAAATGAAAGTAAACAGCAAAAACAACGATAGAAAGAAAGAGACAAAGTGCCGCAAGCTTTTCTGCAATTTTACCCAGCCGCGGCTTTTCATTTCATCAAGCAAACCAGATTCAGGTAACCAAACAACAAGCTGCTTAACTTTAAAGCTCCAAACAAACAAACAACAATGAAAGAACTGATTGCAACAAAGAAATTCTGAACAATACATTCACATAAAATGGTTTAGCAGCCCGAAAGATCAAATTTTTATCAAGATTGCTGCTAAGAGGTTTTGATCAACGGAAAAAATCTAGCCTTTCCCATAAAATCCTTGACAACGGAACCAAGAAAAGGAAGAAACAGAACAATATCCAAGATTACAGTTCATCCCTTCCTCAACAGATTTATGGAGAAGAAAAACAATCCTGACTTCAAGTAAAAATCTAAAACATAGCTTTGATGGATAGCTTGGAAATATACCTTGAAAGATGGATAGAAGCTAGTGCAGTCTGTGAAAGAACAAAGACAGCCGATGAAGAAAGTTTCCGGCAATTCCTCCTCCTCCCTGCTTTGGTTGCTGCTCCCTTTCTCTTTCGGCCGTAGCCTCTCCCTTTTCTTTTGCTCCGAATCTGTCCCAGCTTCACTCTCCACTCTCTTTCTCTCTCAGACCTCAGCCCAGATTTCTCTCCTTTGCTCTCGGTTTTTCCTTAGCCGTTCCTCAAAGAAAAACTTCCTCTCTTTTTTGTTTTCTTCTCTCCCCCCGACTCTCTCTGCCCGTCACCTTCCTTTTGGTTTCTTTCTTTTCCTTGTTGCTCCGCTCCTCTTCGATCTTCCTCAGTCTGTAGCTTCCTCACTCGAGCCTCCTCACTCCGAAAGCTCTCTCCTTTTTTCACTCCCGTTTTATCGCTTCCTTTTTTGCTTCCTATTTTCAGCCGTCATCTCTTAATCCTCTCTCTCCTTCTCCTGTTGCGGCTGCCTGCCTTTTTCTATTTATATGGGAGCCAAACCAACCCTAACACCCAGCCACTTCTTCTGTATTTGCAGCCAAGGGCTGCCCGAAGCCCTTCCTTGCAAGCTGCGAAAAACGCAGCTTGCAAGTCGCGTATCATTTTTTTTTTTTTTTAAACTTAAATAACAAAATTGAAAATAATAAAAATTAAAAACAAAAACAATTTAATTAACATTAGAAACAACAAAATGCAAATCCAATTTTCCCTTTTTTTCATTTTTTCAAATTTTTCATCTTTTTTCTTTCTTTTTTCCTTCAAGAAAACATGGAATTTAAATCAAAACAACTAAAGCATATTTTTTGAATGCTTTTCTTTTTTTCTTTTTTTTTCTTTCGAGAGATTCTATGCTAAAAACTTACAAATAAAAATAATAAAATAAAAACTAAAAACTAAAAACTAAAAAGTGAATAAAACTTAACACGACAAATAAAAATTAAGACAAAATAGTAAATGCAAAATACGCTAAAATTTTGGTGTCTACATCAGAGGAGAGATCTACACCTTCTAGCTCCGACTGAGACAGGTCGGACTTTCTAAAAGCTCTTGTTAAATCTTCCTCCATCCTCCAGATTCTAGTTGTAGAGGCGCTACCTTGCACTATTTCCAATCGCAGAAGATCCAGTTGAGTACCCCTGCAAAACAGAATAGGAAGGCACCAAAAAACAGCAAAAAAACCTAATCTATACTACCAAAAAAGACAACTACGAAATCACGCACATCAGCTCATCGAAAGTTCAAGTCACCTTTTCTGGGTTGCATCCTTCAAATGTTCCTAGGATCATGACCATTTCCACACAAGAAACAGAGTTACAGCTCAGAGAAGAGTTTATGGACGTGGGTTTGGGTGTCTCGGTTGTACGAAAGTTGAACAGTCACTATTGGAAGTAAAGCTAGCTCTGTGTAACTTTCTATTTTGGGTTGGCGCTGCAATTTTGAAACCTCCTACAATGAGAAGAAAAGCTCTCAAACTAGAGAGAGATGCTCTCAAGCAAGAGAGAGAGTACTACAAGAATAATTACAACAAATCTTTCGAGTTGTATATAAAATAGCACTTACTTATGTATTGATAGGTTGCGATTTTATCATTTATTTTATTATTAATTTTTCCTATTACCTGACCCGATGTAGATTAATTATTAGATTCTACTCACTTTTCGTAATTTACATTTATTTCAGGGAGTAGAATTAAAATACCACAACCAATGCCAATTTGACAGTCATCGGGAAAGAGTTCAAATAGCAGGCATTCAGGGACATTTTTGGAATAAGCGGATGCAAGCCCTTTTTGGTAATTTGGCCGAAGACAGCAAGAAAAAAAAAGAGGAAGCTGGAGTCTTCGGTTTGGAGGCTGGGCCACCGCACAGTGGATGAGAGCAGGCATTAGATAGAAACTAGAAATTGCAGAGGATTAGCACTACTTGGGGAGTTTTTTTAGCTTTTGATTTTTCCTTCGGTGTTTTTGAGTAGTACTTCTCCTGCGCATGTCAGGAGCAATTAGGAGAGCTTTGACTTTTCTTCCTTTTAGCTCTTAGTAATTTCTTTTCCTTCTTCGTATGTCATCCGAAGTGAAACAAGGGATCACCTTTTGTAACTTTGCTATCTTTTCTTGATTGGAGCGAATTGAATTCTCCAAATTTCTGAGACAATGGCTGCTGCTTTCTCTTCAATTTTGCGTGGGTTTTTCGCATAAAATATGAACTAATTTCCTCACTCTAGTCAAGGAACAACGGAGGCTTTGATTCGCCTAAAAATTGTGAAATCGATTTAATTTTATCTTTCTCTTTTATTTATTGTTATTCGCATATTCCCTGGATACAGTGCGTGTGATTGTTCAATTAATTGTTTGTCTTGGATCCGAATAATTAGTTAACTTGATAATCTATTGTCAATTAGGGCATTTAAATCCGTAATTGTTTAATTGTCTTGAATTAGTGACAACTGGCATGATTAGATTTGTGTCAAAGGGATACGCAGGCTAATTTGAAATAACCCTGGTAGTGTGTTATTTGGTTAGAATAGGGCTCCTCTAATACGTAAGGCAATTGGGGAATTAAATCTTATAGGTGTACTTAGGATTATTTCTCAATTAGAGTAGTGATTAACGGGCGTACCTTAATCACCAATACAATAAGGAGGGGTTGACTGCCATCACTTGTTTGATAGTTATAACCTATTTATTAATAAATAATTGGAATTGCTTGTGCATCGATGATCAATTAGGTGAACCATTGCTGAAATTATTTCTTGGCTAGACCTTTAATTATTGTTACTCTAATTTTAGTGAATTGTCATTTAATTTCTAGTTAACTATTTATTTTTTTTTATTCGAATTTCTTTGATTGTCATCGTTTATACAAAAACACCCCCTGTGTTATTTTGGATTTCTTAAGAGACAAATATCCTCAATTTCTGAGAATACGACCCTACTTGCCCTGTCTACGAATTCATAATTATTTGTGAAAAAAGTCATTCCGTTCGAATATATCGGATCAAGCAAACTCTTCGGGAATAGGGTGAATCAAGTAACTAATTGCACACCTAGAGTCCCTACTCTAGTACTTGGAATCGGGTTTTGGTTACTTTAACTAGCAATTAGGTTTATTTTATTATTGCACAGGTCTCGACAACCAGTCAATTTTTGGCGCCGCTGCCGGGGACTGTCATTTATTTGTTTCTTTTTTAGTTCATTTTTGTTCTAATTTTCTGGTATTTTTCGAGTGTATGCCTCGTTCTTCTAGTACAGGTGAATTAATTTTTGACCCTGAGCTAGAGAAGACTGGGCGCAGAATAAGGAAAGAGACCAGACAACTCAAAGAAGACCACTCCAGTGCTGCATCTCAGAGACTTGAGCCAGAAGTTGAACCAACAGATTCGTTTGGCGATACTTCGAGTGACTCAGATCAAGAAGAAGTCACTATGGCGAATGCACGAACATTAAGAGAGTTGACTGCTACTGATTTAAATCAGCAGCCTTTATGCATTACTTTCCCAAGTTTAAATGATAACACTCCATTTGAATTAAAATCTGGTCTAATTCATCTTTTGCCATAATTCCATGGTTTACCAGGTGAGGAGCCGTATAAGCACTTGCAAGAGTTTGATGTCGTTTGCAACAGCATGAAGCCCCCGGGCATTACAGAAGAGCAGATAAAAATGAGGGCATTCTCCTTCTCCTTGAAGGACTCTGCAAAAGATTGGCTGTACTCCTACCATCAGGTAGTATCACCACGTGGGACCAGCTGAAGAAAAAGTTCTTAGACAAGTATTTTTCCGCGTCTCGAGCTGCAAGTCTAAGGAAGGAGATCTGTGGTAACAAGCAGCACCCAGGGGAGTCGCTTTATGATTACTGGGAGCGATTCAAGAAATTATGCATCAAGTGCCCTTAGCACCAAATAAGTGAGCAGTTGCTCATACAATATTTTTACGAGAGGCTACTCTTCAGAGACAGGAGTATAATTGATGCTGCGAATGGAGGGGCACTGGTGAACAAGACCCTTCGAGCAGCGTGTGAGCTAATCGAAGAAATGGCGGAGAATTCGCAGCAATTTGGTACGAAGGAGGATGTCCCGATACACAAGGTGAATGAGGTAGAGACATCCTCTATCCAGCAGCAGCTGACTAAGTTGACTTCTTTTGTTAGACAACTGGTTGTAGGAAATGCATCTTAGACCAAGGTATGCGGGATTTGCACTGGTATGGGTCATTCTACGGAGATGTGTCCAATGATTCAAGAGGAAAGTGTAGAGCAACTAAACATGGCTGGTCACGCGCCCGCACCAAGAAAGCCCTACGACCCATATTCAAGTACCTACAACCCCAGTTGGAGGGACCATCCCAACCTCAACTATGCAGGGAACAGGCAGTCTAACTTTGTGCCAAATAAACAACAAGAGTACCAGCAGCAGTACCAACCCCGACCACCTCCGCCACCGAACTCTAGTCTATATTTGAAGGAGATGATGAAACAACTGATGGCTACCACCGCGCAACATCAACAAAAGACGGACTCCGAACTACATAATATAAGAAATCAAATGAGCCAGATGCAATCCATTCAAAATCAGATGAATCAAATGGCCATAACAATCAACCGTTTGGAGTCCCAAGTCCAAGGTAAATTGCCGTCTCAGCTTGAATTGAACCCGAAGAACGTAAGCGTGATGACCCTAAGGAGCGGGAAGGAAATTCAGGGGTCTGAACCTACGATTCCAAAGGACAAGGATGAGGAAAAGATCGAAAATGATCTTGAAAAGGAGGACAGCAATGACACAAATCCAAAGATACTCCCGGACTCAGTCATTACAGTTAAGACTAACCCACCTCCCTTTCCTAGCAGACTGGAGAAACTAAGAAAGCAAGACAATGAGAAGGAGATCTTGGAGGTATTTCGCAAGATAGAGATCAATATCCCCCTGTTAGATGCAATTAAACAGGTGCCGAAGTACGCAAAGTTTTTGAGGGACTTGTGCGTCAATCGAAGGAGGCTGAGGGAAGATGAAAGAGTCATTGTTGGAGAGAATGTGTTAGCGGTCTTACGGAGAAAACTCTCACCGAAGTGTGGAGACTTAGGTATATTTACTATCCCCTGTAGGATAGACAACACTTTGATTAGGAAGGCCATGTTAGACCTAGGAGCATCGATCAATGTAATGTCAAAATCTATCTATGCTTCCCTAAACCTAGATCCATTAAAAGAAACTGGATAATCATTCAATTAGCTGATCGAACTAATGCATATCCTGATGGGTTGGTTGAAAATGTGTTGGTTAAAATTAATGATTTAGTATTCTCAACTGACTTTTATGTACTTGACATGGATGATGATCACTCACCCGATCCCTCACCCTTGCCATTAGATAGACCCTTTTTTAGTACAGCAGAAACAAAAATTGATGTTAATAAGGGTACCTTGTCCATGAAATTTGATGAAAAAATTGTGCATTTTAATATTTTTGATACTATGAAATACCCCTCAAACTCCAATTTTAGCTCTGTTTTCTCTGTAAGTGCCATTGACACTGCGGTGCAGGAAGTATTTGAAACTGTTGGCAGGGATGAGTTGGAGGTTGTTTTAACTAAGCACCTCGAGTTGGAGACAACTCTTGAGGTGGAGTGGAGTGAAGATTTGAAATGTACAATAGGAGCATTACACTCGTTGCCAACCACAACGAAAGGTATGAAGTTTCACCTATTTTCATTCCTGAACCTCACCGAAGGGTATTACCATCTGTGATGCAGGCACCTGTGTTGGAGTTAAACCTCCTGCCGTAGCACTCGAAATATGCGTATTTGGGTGACAACAAAACACTCCCGGTGATTATATCAACTGCACTCTCGGAAACCCAGGAGGAGAAGCTAATCCGAGTCCTTAGAGAGCATAAAGATGCGATGGGATGGACCATCGGTGACATCAAAGGGATCAGCCCCTCCATCTGTATGCACCGGATTAGGCTGGAAGAGGATGCCAAACCCGTACGACAAGCCCAAAGGAGGCTCAACCCCCTCATGATGGAAGTGGTGAAGAAAGAAATTTTGAAATTGCTAGATGTGGGGATCATCTTCGCGATATCGGATAGCCCATGGGTGAGCCCGGTCCAGGTAGTTCCAAAGAAAGCAGGAGTGACAGTGGAGGCTAACCAAACGGATGAGTTCGTACCAGTGCGCAAACCCATTGGATGGAGGCAGTGTATTGACTACCGTATGCTGAACGCCGTCACCAAAAAGGACCATTTTCCTCTTCCTTTCATTGACCAAATGGTTGAGCGTTTAGCTTGCCGGGCTTATTATTGTTTTCTGGATGGATTTTCAGGGTATTTTCAGATTGCCATCGCACCGGAGGATCAAGAAAAGACGACCTTCACGTGCCCATTCAGAACTTTTGCTTCTAGACAGATGCCATTCGAGTTGTACAATGCACCTGTAACATTCCAAAGATGTATGGTAAGTATTTTTTCTGAATATGTTGAGAAAATCATTGAGATTTTCATGGACGATTTCAGCGTATACGGTGATAGCTTCGATACTTGTCTAGATAACCTGAAACTGATTCTGTTGAGGTGTATAGAGACTAATCTCATGCTTAACTGGAAAAAATATCATTTTATGGTTTAACATGGGATAGTCCTGGGTCATATTGTGTCTTCTAAAGGTATCGAGGTTGACAGGGTGAAAATAGATGTTATATTTGCTTTACCTTACTCCGCGAGTATGCTGGAAGTGTGCTCTTTTCTTGGACATACAGGATTTTACCGAAAGTTCATCAAGGATTTTTCGAAAATTGGAGCCCCGTTGTTCCAGTTTTTACAAAAAGATGTGGCCTTCAAATTCGATAACAAATGTGAGAGAGCTTTCGACAAGTTGAAGGAGTTATTGACCTCGCCACCGATCATTCAACCCCCTGACTGGAGTTTGCCATTTGAGATCATGTGCGATACCAGTGATCATGCTGTAGGGGCTGTATTAGGATAAAAAGTAGGAAAGACAGCTCGCGTCATCTATTATGCATCCCGAGTCTTGAATGGGGCTCAACTGAATTATTCAACCACTGAGAAGGAGCTACTTGTGGTCATTTTTGTTTTAGAAAAATTCAGGTCATATTTGTTAGGTGCTAAAATTATTATATTTTATGATCATGCAGCGTTAAGGTACCTAATGACCAAGAAAGATGCAAAATCGAGGCTCATAAGGTGGATATTGCTCCCACAGGAATTTGACCTGGAGATAAGGGATAAAAAAGGCTCAGAGAATCTAGTAGCCGACCATTTGAGTCGCATACCAGTTAGAGAGGAGAACGAGCCATTGAAGGATGCATTCCCTGAAGAGCATTTATTTTCTCTAAATTCTCAATTACCTTGGTATGCTAATCTAATTAACTACTTGGTGACTGGTAATTTTCCTGTAAGTAGGCCAAAATCGAAGAGAGATAAATTGAAGAGCGACGCCAAATATTTCATCTTGGATGATCCATACTTGTGGAAGAGATGTGCTGACCAAGTGATGAAACGATATGTAAGCAAAACTGAATTTCAATCGATTTTAACTTATTGTCATACTTTTGCTTGTGGAGGTCATTTTAGACCTAAGAGAACTGCTCATAAGGTATTAGAAAGTGGGTTTTATTGGTCTTCTTTGTTTAAAGATGCGTATGTGTTTTGTAAGTCCTGTGATCGATGTCAAAGGATAAGTAATATAACTCGTAGAGATCATATGCCCCAAGTCCCATTAATTTTTGATGTTTGGGGTATCGATTTTATGGGGCCTTTTCCTACTTCATTTGGGTTTATATATATTTTTTTGGCAGTCGATTATGTGTCTAAATGGGTGGAGGCTAAGGCCACCCGAACTAATGATTCGAAAGTGGTTGCAGATTTTATCAGGTCTAATATTTTTGTGTGTTTTGGGATACCAAGAGCCATTGTTAGTGACAGGGGGACGCACATCTGCAACAAAACTATAGCCGGGCTATTTCGCAAGTACGGTGTACTCCACAGGGTCTCAACGTCATACCACCCTCAGACCAATGGTCTAGCGGAGGTATCGAATTGGAAAATTAAGTCCATCTTGGAGAAAATGGTGCGCCCCGATAGGAAAGATTGGAGTCAACGGTTGGAAGATGCACTTTGAGCCTATCGGACGATGTACAAGACCCCCATAGGGATGTCACCGTACAGATTGGTATTTGGGAAGCCGTGTCACCTTCCAGTGGAGTTTGAGCACAAGATTTTTTGGGCAATAAAATAGTGTAACATGAATCTAGAAAAGGCCGGTGCTCAACGAAAATTGGATTTGCAAGAATTGGAGGAGATTTGGAACGAAGCGTACGAGAATGCATTAATTTACAAGGAGAGAAGCGGGGGCATTTTATGATCAACAAATCTCTAGGAAAACCTTTGAAGTTGGTCAGAAGGTCCTCCTGTACCAATCCAGGCTTAAACTCTTCGCAGGTAAACTACGTTCCCGTTGGATTGGACCTTTTATTGCTACTCATTTCTTTCCTTATGGTGCAGTTGAAATCTAGAGTGTTAAGACAGACAATAAGTTTGTGGTGAATGGACACCGTCTCAAGCATTATTACGAAGGTTTTCCAAGTGGAGAAGTGGAGACGATAAGTCTAGATGCACCGTCGTGTCTCAATTATTGACACCTTGCCTTGTCTAGCCAAAGATATTAAAGAAAGACTCTCATTGGGAGGCAACCCAATTTCTTTTTATTGTTTGTTTGGTTTTGTGTGATAGTTTAAATCTGTTTTCCTTGAATTTGACTGATTTCGAGTTTCAATTTTCGTTTTTGATGATTTGTAGGTGTCTCTTTGACATGATGCGCCCGCGTCAAGTCGTATGGAGAGCTCATGATCAGAAGGGTTCCTGCCCTCTTGATGTGCCTACGTTACGTTCG